GTTTTGTTTTAATGTTTTCCAAATTAAATTTAATTTTTATAGAGATTTTCCATAATTTCATTTCATGGCGCTTTTGAAGAAACCCAAGGACGCATAGATAATTAAACACACAGTACAATAGTACATAATACATATTTTAAAGTTTGAAGGTTTTTTGAGATTTGAGTCTTGTTTTTTATTAAGAGTTTCTGGTCTTAAAATGTCATCATTAGTAAGATAATAAGTAATCTTTATTTATATAGCGCATGTTGGAAAGCCAAGAGCGCTCCAAAATTGTTTAGACTTTAGAGAGAAAAACAATCTCACTCACATACTGATATCTGTTGTTTTTAATTTGACTATAAGGTTGTGTTCCAGAACCAAGGGCACACACTGTACAGGGGCCACTGGACTGAGGGAGTGGACACTAATGGCAACGCCCTACCCAGACACAGCCACAGATCCAAGAGCAAAGGGAAATGCACCTCCTCTGCCCCTCCCCCACTCCAGACTGAGTGGGCTGTGAGTGAGACCGGTGGCGCTAGAGGAGGTTTCTGGAGGCAGTGATGGGTGGAGCATCAGGAGAGACCTGAATGAGAGTTGAGAGTGTGTCCAGTTGGTTTACATCATCCACAGTGTGACCTTTGAGACCTACAGGTGGTTCTAGGAGTCTGGAGTACACAACCCCAATATTCACACACCTACAAACCCACACCACAACACACAATACATATCTACACATGATCAACATTTACATATAGATACATGAAAAGCAGAACATGAGAAAAAAGCATTTTAAAGTTTAACTCCAATGTAAACACATATTTTTTAATTGTCTCTCAACTTGATCTTTTTTGAATCAGTATTTTTGAGACCAGAAATGTTCATTTGAATTCTATATTGTCATGGACTTAATTGACGTACTGTCCTGACACTTTTGATTTGTTGATTTTGTACTGTGTGAAGTAATTACATTGATTAGGATTAGATTCTGATTAAAAACACAAATTAGAGAAGTAACTGAATCATTGCGCTTGCTTTTGTCTGTGGGACATTAGCAACAGCATGAATAGAAATTCGTCTTTAAAGTAGAATCAAAGTGATTTAACCATAGAGAGTAACTACTGCATTAACAAGCTGTGTACAGGAAACTGAGACACTGCACCATTGACCAGAAGTGCATCGCAAATGACCTGATGTGCTTCAAGTGAAAAGACTGTATCTGGAGATCCTGATGTGCATCTGGATGAGACCAAAACATTGGCTTGGACCCTACTGATGTCCAAGATGACATCTCTCGAAATATGACCTGACCTGATGACGACTGAGACTCACCCTCAGGGAACCTAGGACCTGAGGATCTGGGACCTGGAGAGAGCAAAAACTGGGGAGTGATGTTTATATTATTTGAAATCATACCATTGATGAGTGCTAATTGTAGAGAGATACTCATGATTCCTTTCTTTTTGATTTGTTTTGTCCCTAGTTCTGGACTTCTGGATGATCATTTGGACAGCCTTTTGAAGAAAAGAACCAGCCAATGAAAATAAATCCATCTAATGCCGATGCTATTGCCTACACCCAGATCCACACTGTGACACAAAATGCAATACATGGAAAGTATTCAGTCATCTGACAGACAAAAACTTTTGACTTTTTTAGTCTGGGGACTGCTGCAACTGTTACAAATGTTTTTAAAAATGACGCGTTTGGTCTGAACGCACCATTACACTGGTGTCGGGTTGATAATGGAAATAATAAATTTCATTCAATACATGTATCGTACTGTATTTAATATGATTAAGAATAGTGTGTTCAAACAAAATATTTAATTAGATTGATTTTTTTCCCCATTTTCCATTATCAACCCGACAGACCAGTGTAAGAGTGTAGAGTTGCCACAGGACGCGTCATCAGCCTACGTCAGCAGCCGCGTCAGCAGCCTACGTCAGCAGCCGCGGACTGCTATGAAAACATTAGCTTTGTGGTTTCACAGGCGCAGTTGACTGCTTAAACTAAACTTTGCACGAAACTTTGACTCTTAAAACCCACATGTGACAAAACGGGACCATCAACATCTCGCCTCAAATTGCATTAAAAGTGACATTCGTGTCTTAATTCGTTCGTATTTCAACTTTTAAAGCAATTCACGGTCCGCCATCTTGGTATGCTTCGGCTGCCGTGAGACGCACATGCGCAGGTTTGCATTACATCATAAACAGCTGAGGCAGTGCATCTCTTCAAGACAGTGTATCTCGGCGTTACACCTGGTCTTCGAAGCGTGTACCGAGTAAAAAAGGGGCGTATTTTTTGAAGCGTGGTTCGAGGCGTGTGTTGGTGACGTATGTGGTGACGTTCGAAGCCTCGCGTAGCGGCCGCACCATGTGACGGATCATATAGTGCTTCATATAGTTCGGAGAGTGCATTGCTTTGACAGGTGCTTTGTGATCCGCGGCTGTACCATAGACTGTATTGGCTGTCCCCGTCTGCCTCTGTGTGTGTGCGTGATGTGGAGCAGTCCTGTACTAAGTATAGAGAAACTACTTCATATGAAATACAATTAAAAATGTTTCACTTTAGTAAATCCTCATATATCAAGGCTTCAAGTTATTAGTAACAGTGATGGGCAAGCTACTTGATTTGTGTAGTGAGCTAAGCTACAAGCTACTCTACAATAAATTCAGCTTCACTACACAGAAGCTACCACCCATACAAATGTAGCAAGCTAAGTTACAAAATTCTGTAAAAAGTAGCTTGCTATATAGAAGCTATTTTCAATTAAACAAACTGCAGTTCATGCAATTTTATATTTTCCTGCATTAACATGTTTGCTCATTTCTTATTTTTTGCACAATTCTTGAGTGTTTTATCCATGCCAAATGTGACATGTAAATTTCTCCTGTGTGAGATGAATAAAGCTTATCTTCTTATTTGAGATAAACTGTCAGTCAGATAAAGGTTAACATTTTGTAGATATTTATTTAACAATAGCCCAAAACACCAAAAACAACAAACAGTAGGCATCTGAAAACATATTTCTTTTCGCTCATCTCGACTAGAGTGACGTACTTTTGGAGGTATGGCCACGGTACAACACTTTGAGAGTCCTTATCATGGTCCTCCTCCACCGCGGCGGCTCCTGGGCTCTCTGCCATGCTTTTGCTTCCCCGAGTAGCGCGCGTGTGTGTGTGTGCGTACGTTTGTGTGTGTGTGTCGTTACCAAGCCCTGCGCATGCGCATCAGCATTCTGTCTTTCTATATGTTTGTTTTATGCTGCGGGAAAATGCTGTAATATGTGAACATCAGAGATGTCCGTGAGAAAATAGCTTTGGCGGACGCTACCGCGCTACTTGAGCAATAATATAGCTTAGCTACAGAAAAGTTACTAGGTTTTGTAAATAGTGACGCTACTGTCAAGCTACTGAAAAATGTAGTTAAGCTAGTAGCGACGCTACTTGTAGCGACGCTACTGCCCATCACTGATTAGTAATAATACGCTGGATAATACATTTCACAACAGCTGTGTGGCGCAGTCGGTATATGACGGACTCCGAAGCAGAAGATATAGCGTTCGAATCCTGGTCTACCCATAATAAATTTTGTGTTGCAAAGTAAATGTATTTATTTATTGGGAATAAATGGTTTGTTGTGTTTAATTAATCCACCTCTTGGTAGTTTTTCCTCCATTAATCACTTTCTGTAGAACTGTATTACTTTGGATGTGTTTGTTGTATCAACACAATTGACTGAAAGACTCAAATAGTTCATAGTTCATGAAGCATCATTTCAAACACAACACGTTAGACCATAGATTGTAAATATACATTTTAACATTAGATCTCACCATTCATTGTAAGCACTTAAGAGTGTTATGTATTTTTTTGTCCACATGATGGCGTAGTGGAGCATGATTCACCTCGAGCCTTCGACTCATGGGCCGAGTAATAGGCTGCGATCCCTCAAGGCTTCATGGGGCTTCATATTGCCATCACTAAATGAGAGCAATGTGTGAGACGTGTCTTTCCCCAAAGTGCAGCGGCTCAGTGGGACACGAGTGTGTGCGCGCCACGGACACGGGAGTGCGCTTTGGAATAACGAGCGTGAGAGAGCGTGAAAGATGTGGCGTACGAACATGGCGTACGAACATAGCGACCGGAGCCTGCGTGCGTGTGTGTGTGTGTTTTGGCGATTAAATAAAGTCTGATTCTTGAACGTTTGAAGTGTTATTGCAACAGCACCAACTGTGAGAGCGAGCATCAGGCCAGAGGGAGACTGTTAGCATTAGGTTAGCTTCAAAATGACTGCTCAACACCATAGACCCGCGGTTAGCGCGTTAGCGCTGTAAAATTCGAATAAAAATCAAATTTTTAAAAAAAGAAATCGCCCTAAACGTAAAACTCGAATTAATGATTAAAATCGATTAATCGCCCAGCCCTAACCTGCACTATTGACACTGTTTCTTGATTGTCACTTTTTATTGTACATAATATATCCTGCATTTAACATGTTGCACACTTTTCTTTTTGCACTCTTGAGTGTTTCTATCCATGCCAGATGTACATTTCTCCACCAGAGATTAATCAACTCTATCTCAACTTATCTTATGTGTGTTTATATATAACGTTGTACATGTATGTATTTGTGCATATGTGCGTGCGCGCGTGTGTGTATATGAGTACGAGTGTGTGTGTGTGAGTGTGTGTTTATGCGTGCGTGTGTGAGAGTGTGTGTTTTAGCGTGCGTGTGTGTGTGTACGTGTGTATGTGTTTATGCGTGTGCGTACGTGTGTATGCGGGGGACTGGCTCGTGAGAGCGAGGCGTGGGCGCTACTGCTGCGCATGCTCCGTGTGGACCAGCCGCCATCTTGCTGCTAGCGCTACCGGTGAGGTTCTGTGAGGTTCTGTGGGTTTGGCTTGTACGGTTTGGCTTCCAGCGGAGCAAGCTGCTGTTCTCCCGGACCAGGATCCACCAGCGCCCTCCTCCTCAGCCCTGCCCTCAGAGTCCCCACAGCCCGCAGCACGATGGCGGACAAAGACAACCTGGTTTACAAAGCCAAACTAGCCGAACAGGCAGAGCGCTATGACGGTACGTGTGTCTGCGGGCGTGTGTGTGTGTGTGTGTGTGTGTGTGTGTGTCTGCGGCTGTGCGTGTTTGTTGCTGTGGCCTGGATCTTCTCACGGCTCTTTCCCCGTGTGTTTGAGACCCTTCTCTTAACTCCGGTGCGGACTTACCAGTGCCCGGCTTGGCTCTGCCGGAGGACACTACACGCTGACCTGGTAGCTGGCTTGTAGCCTAGCGTCAGTGTGCTAATGCTAACATGCTAACATGCTAGTCCGACTTCACACGCGTCACTAGACTCCATTCAAACAGAAGCTCCAGATTGATTTACGGCACGGTGGCTGAGTGGATAGCACTCTCGCCTCTCAGCAAGAAGGTCCTGGGTTCGAATCCCGGTCGGACCAGGGCCTTTCTGAGTGGAGTTTGCATGTTCTCCCCGTGTCTGCGTAGGTTTCCTCCGGGTACTCCGGTTTCCCCTACCACTAAAAATATGTCCAATAGTTCTGGCATGCGCCTCCTGTACTGGCGACCCCGCTCCCATCTCTGTGTGGAGTGAGAGACAAATGCCCATAATTAACAATTGTAAACCGCTTTGAGACTCAGATCTGCAGTGAAAAGGCGGTATATAAATAAAATCTTACTTACTCCACTAATCAATTTATGTTTATACTTCTACACATTGAACCCAAATTTACTCTGTTTAGAACACACTAGAACAATTTAGGATTCTTCTATATCACTTTCATGCAAATATGGCAATTGAATTGATTATTTTTAACCTTAACATGTTGCACACTTCTGTCTTTTGCACAATCTCAGTGATTCTATCCATGCCAAATGTGACATGTACATTTCTCAAGTGTGAGATCAATAAAGTCTTATCATAGTTTATGGCAGAGTTTACGTTCATAATGTGATTCCTCACCCCCCTCTTCCCCCACTATTAGTTATACTGATTTATTTTGTTTACACTTTGCGATATTTATTTATCTCAGAGTAGTGACTAAAAACAGATTAAATTGCTCATTACAATCTTTGTTCATATTAGCACTCATTTAGATGCACACCCACACACAAATCATTGCATGGTATTGTAATTTTTATTTGTATTGGATGTGTGTTTTCATGAACAGCAGGATAGTACTTAGATACATACATAAAATACATAATTATAGTGATGGGGAAACTGTAGCGCCCATAGGAAGCCATCAAAGACACCGGGAGAACATGCAAACACCACACAAAAAGGCCTGGTGATGGAATCGAATCAGGACCTTCTTGTTGTGACGCACAAGTGCTATCCGCTTGTGACGCACAAGTGCTATCCGCTTGTGACGCACAAGTGCTATCCGCTTGTGACGCACAAGTGCTATCCGCTTGTGACGCACAAGTGCTATCCGCTTGTGACGCACAAGTGCTATCCGCTTGTGACGCACAAGTGCTATCCGCTTGTGACGCACAAGTGCTATCCGCTTGTGACGCACAAGTGCTATCCGCTTGTGACGCACAAGTGCTATCCGCTTGTGACGCACAAAGTGCTATCCGCTTGTGACGCACAAGTGCTATCCGCTTGTGACGCACAAGTGCTATCCGCTTGTGACGCACAAGTGCTAACCGCTTGTGACGCACAAGTGCTAACCGCTTGTGACGCACAAGTGCTAACCGCTTGTGACGCACAAGTGCTAACCGCTTGTGACGCACAAGTGCTAACCGCTTGTGACGCACAAGTGCTAACCGCTTGTGACGCACAAGTGCTAACCGCTTGTGACGCACAAGTGCTAACCAACGTCTGCGGTTTCTTATGTCCCTGACACCAGCGGTAAAGGCTCCGCCGCTGCAATAGTCAGACTGGTTTGGTCAGACACAAGACCGGCCAAACCAGTCTGACTAATGGTGCTTTCAGACCGGATCATGCGTTGCGTCGGCTTTCAATGCAAAGTCTATGGTGACAAGCATTCGAGCGTCAAAACGCACGGACCTCTCGGCACGCACGAACGGACTGTTCAATAATGACGCACGGACTTGGCGGGAAAGTCAAAGGGGAGGAGCAGGAGCGAAAAATCGACGGCCACAGGAGATGGATTCTGCTCATCCTTTCCTTGGAACGTTCGTGCAGCAACCAATCAGAGAGCCGCAAAGTGGTCACGGGGACATAGCGAACTGAGCAAGCAGACGGAAAATACTCGTAAACAGCCAAAACAGGACCCACACCATGATTCACAGAACTCAAACCAGGGTTGACAATGGCGGACTCTGTGCTTGTGAAAATATGCATTGTCATGCTCCCGTGACCGTATGCAACTGCTTGGAGTGTGTTCACCGATGCGGAAATACCGTTTAATAATATGAAAAAACGTATGGCGCACCTCCGTGAACACATACTACTGTTGTAAAAAGCCCATGGAAGGTCTCTGTTCAAAGACCCGCTGCAAAGCTGCATATTGGAGAAGATCTGTACACAAGAAGCCGCTAGCATAGCATCAGAGCCGGCCGGCTACTTCTGGCACTTCCGGTGCGCGTCAGGACATCTCGGTGTGAAGACCCTGCGTCTGAAAACTAGAGAATGCGCGTCTGGTGAGCGGGGCTTCAGCGTTTCAGCGTTGGCGGTCTGAAAGCACCTTAATGCAGCAGAGACCACGTGGACGCGGGGACCATGGTGAGTCTTGCTAATGCAGCGGCAAAGGCTCTGCCGCTGGTGTCGGAGTTAAACCCCAGGTGTTGGAGAAAACAAAAGCAGTCTCAGTCACTGGTGATGGACGTCTATCAGTAAATATCATGGGGTCACAGCCCAAATCAACTTTACGAAGAAATTAAAATGTGCGATGGAATGTGCAAACATCAATGCGATTAATCTAGATTCAATATTTGAATTGCATGACGGTGGAACGGATCTTTTATTAATCTTACATAAGTGTAAGATAATAAGTGTTTTTCATCTTTTTTTTTTCAATGTGGATCTTATAAGTTCTAAGCTCGAAGTGTGACTTTATTTGTATTTCACTCATTTCCTACGCATCATTCATTCAGGAAAGTAGCATGAAGTTAATCTGCAGTAGTCCGTCCTCCGATCACACCCGGGCTCAGTACCAGAAATTATTCACAACGATATCCAGGCACTTTTATTGTCACATCCCTATTTGTTACATCGTTTTTATTTGTAAATAATTCCATTTAAGGCTCAAGGGTTTGATCAAATAACTTCTGCTGTTTTCTTTATAAAATAACTTTAAAATGATGCATAACATGCCACACTAGCCCGGACTCTCAGTGGGGTCCAGGACACTAACATTCTACTACATTTACGGACATTGGTCTCTCCCTATGGTCCAATACCATGTGTTCTATATTTTGTGTCTTAACTGTTGATTCTCTGATCTGTGTTGGTGATTAGAAAATTACTGTTGTGATTTAGGGCTATACAAGAATACATTGTATTGAATTTAAAGTTTGATATCCACTAAGAGACCTTTTTGCAGGCTGTAAATGGCCCGCGGTCCACATTTTTGGGACAAATACCATGGATTCTGTTAATCTCAACATTTCTAACTAAAGGCTTAAGATTGATCCCTGGAAACTTCCAAGTTTCTCGCTCATGTGTCTGTGTCCTGTTCCTTTCAGAGATGGTGGATTCCATGAAGAACGTTGCGTTCACGCCGGCGGAACTGACGGTGGAGGAGAGGAACCTTCTGTCTGTGGCCTATAAGAACGTGATCGGAGCCCGGAGAGCCTCGTGGAGGATACTCAGCAGCCTGGAGCAGAAGGAGCAGGCCAAGGGAGTCGAGGAGAAGCTCAATATGATCCGGGACTACAGGAAAACGGTACCTTCACTCAGTGTTTCCCACACATAGGCGAATCTGTGGCTCGAGACCGACCGCCACAGATTGCGTTGCGTTATTAACCTTCTAGGCGCCACGGTCAACCAGTCAACCTAAGTCGACAAGCTGCGGTGCTGTTTTAAAATGGCCGAGTGTGTCAAACAGTGTCAAAATTCATTCATACTCCTTGCCACTTGTTGGCAGACATGTCAGACTATCTCCCTGGCCCCAAAAAACGTCATGCTCTCATTCAAAATATTCGAGCAAGACCGCATTGAATCAGAGCGGAAAACATTGCGAAGCGAGTGCAGCTGCGAGGGCAGCGTGCGAGTATTGTACCAAACACTAACTTAAGACACTTTGCACCGAGTCAGTGGAAACAGTGTTTCTCAGGGCTGTCATTGGGAGGTTTGAAGACAGGTTAGATTTGCGGAGGACAAGCCTGGAAGTGGCGACGGGGCACCGCGCCGCGACTCAAGCCTCTGCTACAGTCTCCGCTAAAATCTTGCAAATAGTGCTTCCCACAGATGTATTATCGTGCCTCCCGCCATCACCGGGACAGTACCGTGTTGGATAAGCCTTTGTCTGGTGTTTGTTAGATATGAGAGGGAGAGAGCAGGGGATACACAGCAGCAGGGAGAGTCGCGGTGAGTCTGCCCTCAGGCCTGGGCAGAGTGCTCATAGCGGTCTGGGGCAGTGTGAGTTCTCTTTGTGCTCATGTCCAAGTGATTTATATGTATGTCAGTTAAAAAAATACAAACATTTTATGAAAATTCTAAAATCCACAATTTCCAACGCCATATGACGTCATAATATGCTAATTAGATGGGTACACTTATTCCCTAAAACTTTTGGCCGTCCTTAATATGTTTCAAATTAACAGAAAGTCTTTATCTCTTATCACTTAAGTTATAGCCTTATGAAATGAAAATGTCAAAATCACCCCCCCCGGCCCCGGCCCCCACACATTGCTTTCAAATCTGTGGGAAACACTGCACTGCTTCAATACTTTCTGATCATTTTGTCTTTGACAAAAGTAATGAAAACCTAATGCGGAGACGGTATGTGATATTTTGTGATTCATGTCCCTTATATTATTCAAGTAATACAAACATTTATTATGGTCTGTACATGAACTGAATCAAACACTCAGGGAAGGGCCAAACTAAAAGACAATTAAATTAACAAATGTATATGTCAAATTATCTAATCTCAAAACTTGTCACTACTGTATCCATTTAATTGTGTGTATAAAATATCGTACAGAACAGTTTTCTTCCCACCACTATTATTCAGATATTTCCTCCGTCTTAAATGCAGCGTTTAAGATCTGGACAGAATGCAATCTTTAACAACATCGTGTCTTCACAGGTGGAGAAGGAGCTCAAGGACATCTGTGAGGACATTATGACCGTCCTCGTCAAACACCTCATTCCAAACGCCACGTCTGGAGAGTCCAAAGTCTTCTACTACAAAATGTACGTCTGCTCAAACTTCAACTCATGGATTTATAATAATAATAATAATAATAATAATGCTGCATCAAACTTATATAGCGCTTTTTTGGACACTCAAAGACGCTTATCAGGGTTCAGGCTTTAAACATGACACGTGTCTTTACTTTACAAACTAACTGCTTTTGGTTCTGTGTCGGACTGAAACTATTATTGTTGAGCAATGAATCTAGAGCAGGGTGTCCAGACTATCGAACCAAGATCTGTTACTGCAACCATTGAACCGTGATCATGGATCTATAATAATATTTGGATAGTCTATTACAGCTTATAACTGTCCCACCCATGGGCACAGGGGGCCCCGTGGTACTGCATAGAACTCAATGTAAACTAAAACGGACCTCAGCTCAGAGGACCTGACGGAGACCGCACTTTTGTGAAACGAACTGCTCGTTTTCTTCCCGCTGTAACTAGCAATGCAAGACTCAGTGGAAACGCTGTGGTGAAAAGAGATCGCTGTCTTACTCACTTTAGTTCATATGATTCTGAGCAGCTAAATAATCAGAATATATAGCTGCCACCACTATCAATAAACATATTTTTATTCATTCAATCCATTTTACATGTTAACAAGAGGGTTTGGGTTTAAAGCTGGGGTCTGTAACTTTAGTCTCATAAATAACATGTTTAAAGCTTGGGTCTGTAACTTTAGTCTCATAAATAACACGTGTGTGTGTGTGCATATGCCAAAAACATTTCTAAGCATCATATTTAGATTGCTCCATCAATTACCTTCATTTTGATATATTACATATGTAGTTTGAATTTTTTTTTTTCCCGATTTCTTGTTGGCAGCCATCTTGGATAAGCTGGCGGCCATATTGGAATCAGGGTCGGCCAAATTGTAAAATAAATATTGAATTCAACATCCCTGAATTGTTTCCTCCTTTACTGTGAATTTTAATGTTGATAGTAAAATAGGGAAGTTACAGCACTTAGAAGATGAATAAAGGCTTGAAATGGGTAAATTGAAGGTTCCACACGATCCCTTTGTTTTAAGTCAAATTGATTTCACTATAAGCGCTTTTCAATATGGTAATAAAATCACAACCACTTATCTGATTTTCATAATTCAAAAACTGTTCTATTCCTCTTGCTGAGCTGGAAAATACTGTGCTAAATTAAATCTGATTTGGTAATTTAAAAAATGTAATCTTGCATTGCTACTGTAACTCCGATCCGCAGCTCTGATTGGTCAGAACGCTGCCCCATAACATTAGTCTCGGAAGAAATTAACCTTTTTACTACTAACCTTTTTACTGTTCACTCGTTTTTTGTAAAACATTTTTTCCATATTTTTTTCTAAGAAGTAGGAGCAATGTTAACCCAAATAAATGGTTTATTTGTTTTGAACCTTTGTCTCTTTAATAAAATTTACCAAATGTTGATGCAGTTTGATGGCAGCAGACTGACGTGTGGAGTGTGTCCTGCAGGAAAGGAGACTACCACCGGTACCTGGCCGAGTTCACGGTGGGAAACGACCGCAAGGAGAGCGCAGAGAACAGTCTGGTGGCGTACAAAGCAGCCAGCGACATCGCCATGATCGAGCTGCCCTCCACACACCCCATCCGCCTCGGCCTCGCCCTCAACTTCTCAGTCTTCTATTACGAGATCCTCAACTCGCCGGACCGCGCCTGCACGTGAGACATTCTTAGTCTTAGACCGGTACTTTACTGATCCTGATGGAGGAAGGCAGGAGTCCAGCCGCAGAACCACATCCAAGGGTCTAAGAGCCATATTTGACAAAGAAGTTGGTTTTTATGAAAATTTTTACTGCATTTGAAAATGTTCTACAGAAGCCATTAAAATACACCCCTCCCCACCATTTTTATAATAATAATAATAATGCATTGGTTTTATACAGCGCTTTTTTGGACACTCAAAGACGCTTTACATGTCATTATTCATTCACTCCATACACGGTGGTGATAAACTACTACTGTAGCCACAGCTGCCCTGGGGCACACTGACAGAAGTGAGGCAACCAGTATGTGCCATCGGCCCCTCCGACCACCACCAACCATTCACACACACACCAGACTCATTCTTATACAGAGCGCGGGAGACTAACAATAGTAATAAAGTGCATCAGCAGCAGGTGGTGCAGCAGGTGGTGCAGCCGCTGGCGTGACCGGCGTCCTCCAATGTCTGCAGAGTCTGCTTGGTTCTGACTCCATTTCCTCTGCTCTGGTGTGCTATGAGTGAAATACAAAATGCTTTATTCTAATTTTTCAAATAAAACTAGCATTCCTCCAGTGGATTTCTGCTTTTTAGGACCATAGACTGTAAATATTAACAGATGTAGAGACGCCTATTTCCTCTGTTTAAATGTATGTGTGACAAAGATCCACAATATGGCAAACTAGAAACTTTATTGATCCTGTAGGAGACATTCTGGTGTGCAGCAGCAGCAGCAGAACAAATGGATCGTTCTAAAAATAGCTAATAGTTTTAAAATGCAGCAGCACTTTAGGTCACAGCAGTGAGCAGCCCCTACTGCAGGAGTAAAAAAAAAAAATTGTGGGTGTGTTCACTGTAAAGTGTCAAAGTATCTGGACTTTAAAAGGTTTTAGCTCAAAAATACATTGATATGAAAAAATATTTAAAACAGACAGATCAGAGATAGTGTGGATAAAATCAAAAGGAAAGATCTTTGGAAATACATCTTTGGAAAAAATTTAATCGGGTCATTTGATTGGATAGTTCTGTGACTCAGAGACAAAGCTGAACTCCATAGATTCACATAAACATCAGGAAATCACTAACTATAGAAATAAATCATTAGAAAAATAATTGATACAAATTTAATTGAGCCTGAATAACGGACGTGATGGTTTAAATTTTATCTTGAGACAAAAAATGTATGGTCTAGTTTCATATTGGATTGGTTTTATTATATGGAAGTAATTTCTTAGATTCTTTTTTTACACTGAGTAGAAACACTAAAATATGGATCTGAAAATATGAAAATAACTTCAGCTCATCCAAAGGATCAGACACAGAAAGTTACTCGTGAACATGTGACTAATTTATAAAACGGTCTCTTTTAGCGACTTCTAAAGGACTGAGGAGGGATTTGGAAACATAAAAAACATTATATATATTCTGATTATTAGCATATTTTTTGGCCGTTTGTGTGTGTTGGCTGCACTGGCCCCATTCATCCTCGTCGTACAGTCTGACAGCTGTAGTAACCGTGGCGTTTCCCCGTGTGTAGTTTGGCGAAGCAGGCCTTTGACGACGCCATCGCGGAGCTGGACTCTCTGAACGAAGAGAGCTACAAGGACTCGACACTCATCATGCAGCTGCTACGGGACAACCTGACGCTGTGGACCTCCGACATGCAGGGAGACGGTAACTACCACAACCACAGTATACATGCAGGGAGACGGTAACTACCACAACCACAGTATACATGCAGGGAGACGGTAACTACCACAACCACAGTATACATGCAGGGAGACGGTAACTACCACAACCACAGTATACATGCAGGGAGACGGTAACTACCACAACCACAGTATACATGCAGGGAGACGGTAACTACCACAACCACAGTATACATGCAGGGAGACGGTAACTACCACAACCACAGTATACATGCAGGGAGACGGTAACTACCACAACCAACCACACAAATACATGCAGAGACCATAACAACCACCACAGAGCTGTGTGCGGTGCCGCAGACTCACACATGTTTGTGTTGAGTTGTATCTTTGTTTCGAGCAGTTGCTGTGATTAAAGTAAATAGTAAATGAAAAATCTCCAGAGATGGGGCAGTGGGGGAAGGGCAGGTCTCTCTGATGTCGGTAGAACCAGGACTCGGTGAACAACCCTCGGTCCTAATGAGCCACATTCCTGCTGCTGCTAATTGTCTCTAAGTTGCCGATTACATGGATGGCTGTGGTCGTTATGGGGATCCTCTGAACCCCGACCCAGAGCACACACAGACGCCAGGAAAGCAGATGAATGTCCTGGTTCTGTCCCAAAACTGCAAACCAGGCTGTCTGCCCAAAGCTGAAGCTGCAGAGAGGACGATAAAACTCACTGGCTTCATATTAGGGCTGGGAACTGGCAAGAATCAGTATTATCGCTGTCTGCAATCAACAATAAAGCCACTGTCATATTCCACTCATACAAATGCTATGTAGCTAGCAAAGGTGCTATACTCTGTGTTAACATCCAAGTTTTCAAATGTTAGAGATGATAAAGTTGCTGGTGTTATACATGTTTGTTTTGAACTCCCCTCGAGACCGTTTTACACAAGTACAGTCCGTTTTTCTTGTCACTCGTTTTCTTTAAAAGCTGCCCCTAAGCTACACGAGCAACTAAGCACTTTCTCGCTGTCTGCTGTTGTGGCGCTTATGTAAATTCAAAATGTGGGTATCTTGTCCGCATCGGGTCCTATGGTATCAACCCAATACCAGAGAAAAGACCAGAACGTTTGTCTAACTGTATGTGTGTGTGTTTGTGTTGCAGAGGAGCCGGCCAAGGAGACTTTGCAGGACGCAGAGGAGGAAGCCCAGTGAGCAGAAGAAAGACTCCCTCCACCTCCCTCTCTCTCTCGGTCTCTGAGTCTGTCTGTCTCTCTCTCTCTCTCTCTCTCTCTGGGTCTGTCTCTCTCTCTCTCTCTGTCTCTGTCTCTGTCTCTGTCTCTCTCTTTCTTTGACTCTGTGGGCTCTCTCCCTCTCTGGGCTCTCTCTCTGTAACATGCACGTCCCTCCTCCTCCAAGCCTTTTTATTTTTGTACATGGATAATTTGGTTCAGACGCGTTCCTTGCGTTTGGTTCATTCTGCTCCGTTTACAGTCTATTTCATCTGTCGCCAAAAGCCTGCCTGCTTTAGACCCACGCATTCAAAAGGACTCCTGGGTCTCTCCCCTGGGACTCTCCTCTGGGACTCCCCAAGGGCTCCCCTTGACACCCCCCCCTTGGACCCCCTTTGGACCCCCTTTGGACCCCCCTTGGACTCCTCTGGGACTCTCCTGGGACTCCCTCGGACTCTGACTCCCCTGGGACTCTGACTCGCCCCCCCCGGGACTCAGACCACACGTGTCACTCCTGAGGTCCCAGAAGAACCAAGTGCCCTGTTTACTTTGGCCACTCGTCGCTGGTGGTGGTTTTTGTTTTTGAAATAAAATATATATATAAAACACAAGTGCCGTTTGGCAGAATGTCCTCCCCCGTTACCGCGCCCGGCTGCGTAGCGCTTTTTTTGCTAACGACTAAAGGTAGTTAGCGCTTTTTTGCTAACGACTACAGGTAGTTAGCGCAGTTTGTTTAGTTAGTTCTGCGACAGAGGAATGCGCGGGACTCGGTGATTGTGAAGCTGCGGCGTCAGGAGGAAATGCATTTGTACTACTGGAAACTCTTCTGTTCTTACTGACCGCATGGAATCCACATTAAAGTTCAAATTCAGACATCTGCCTCTGTCGTACTTTAACCTCTGGGTGAAACAGCCTCTTATAGTCCACGGTCTCTCTGCTCACATGGTGTTAGTCTAGAAGTGTTCCTTTCTGGTACTACATTATTTAGAGTTTGTTAAAGATGTGGCGTTTATTTTCAAATCAAAAGCTACATTTAGTTTGTGTTTACAGTACAGAGCAAAAGTGTGGACATCCTCTCTCCTTCACTGAGTTCTTTCATGACTATTGCTGTAAATCCACACTAGGCTGTGTAAGGGCTGTTTGACCAATAAGGAGAGTGATGGTGCTGGGCCACATGACCTACAGTCATAATTCACATGTGTTTATTCATAGGTTTGATGCCCTCAGTGTCAATCTACAATTTTCATAATCATGAAAATAATACTCTTTGATTTAGGTGTGTCCAAACTTTTGGTCTGTACTGTATATTTAGCATCATAAGCTACATTTAGTTTGAAGTTACTTCCCCTAAATATATAGATTTAGAGTAATGCTTTACAATTCAGAGACAGTCATTTTGTAGAAACATCACTTTGAGAAAACAAAGCATAAACTGAAATTCTGATTTTCCTGACAAATGACCAGTCTGAGTAAGCATTAGATACAGTGGAGCAAAAAACTAGTTAGCCACCGATTGTGCAAGTTCTCCCATTTAAAATAATGACAGAGGTCTGTAATTTTCATCATAGGTACACTTCAACTGTGAGAGCCAGAATGTGAAAAAAAAATCCAGGAATTCACATTGTAGGATTATTAAAGAATTTATTTGTAAATTATGGTGGAAAATAAGTATTTGGTCAATAACAGAAATGTCACCCCAATACTTTAATATAACCTTTGTTGGCAATAACAGAGGTCAATCGATTACTATAGGTCTTTACCAGGTTTGCACCATAGACTGTATATATTAATGGACAGAGTCACGCCTATCTCCGCCGTTCTAACTCATGGGCCAAAAAATGTGCTCTACTGGAGCTATCCAAAATGGCCGCGAGTGGTCCCGCCCACAAGAAAATTGTGAAAAAAACGCATCTGCGCATGCGTCAGCCGGCGCAAGCTCCATTCATTTGAACGAGAGACTTCAAAAATTCACAGCAAGTAAACTAGAGCGGTCCAAAAAAAATTCACCCCCCTCAGCATTGACACACATGTGGAACGGAGCTTTGGGCCAAGAGCCAACTTTTGGACCATCCTGTTTTCGAGAGGTCTGCCTATGCTATATATTGGCATTGGCTAATTCTTCTTCTGGGTCCACCCCCATCGGCCCGGGGTGGTATTACAAGCATGTCAGCGCACGTCATTTAGGCCACTTTTGAGCCGGGACCCGCCCCCACTGGTTTGCACACACAGTATATGTTATTTTGGCCCATTCCTCCATGCAGATCTTTTCGAGAGCAGTGACGTTTTGGCCAAGCAACACGGACTTTCAACACCCTCCACAGATTTTCAATGGGGTTGAGGTCTGGAGACTGGCTAGGCCACTCCAGGTCTTTCAAATGCTTCTTACGGAGCCACTCCTTTGTTGCCCGGGCGGTGTGTTTAGGATCATTGTCATGCTGGAAGACCCAGCCACGTTTCATCTTCAAAGCTCTCACTGATGGAAGGAGGTTTTGGCTCAAAATCTCACGATGCATGGCTCCATTCATTCTTTCCTTAACACCGATCAGTCGTCCTGTCCCCTTAGTAGAAAAACAGCCCCAAAGCATGATGTTCCCCCCCCCCATGCTTCACAGTAGGTATGGTGTTCTTGGGATGCAACTCAATATTCTTCTTCCTCCAAACATGACGAGTTGAGTTTATACCAAACAGTTCTACTTTGGTTTCATCTGACCACATGACATTCTCCTAATCCTCTGCTGTATCATCCATGTGCTCTCTGGCAAACTTCCGACGGGCCTGGACATGCACTGGCTTCAGCAGGGGGACACGTCTGGCACTGCAGGATTTGATTCCCTGTCGTTATAGTGTGTTACTGATGGTAACCTTTGTTACTTTGGTCCCAGCTCTCTGCAGGTCATTCACCAGGTCCCCCCCGTGTGGTTCTGGGATTTTTGATCACCGTTCTCATGATCATTTTGACCCCACGGGATGAGATCTTGCGTGGAGCCCCAGATCGAGGGAGATTATCAGTGGTCTGGTATGTCTTCCATTTTCTGATAATTGCTCTCACAGTTGATTTGTTCACACCAAGCTGCTTGCCTATTGTAGATTCACTCTTCCCAGTCTGGTGCAGGTCTACAATTCTTTTCCTTGTGTTCTTCGACCGCTCTTTGGTCTTGGCCATAGTGGAGTTTGGAGTCTGACTGTTTGAGCCTGTGGACAGGTGTCTTTTATACAGATAATCAGTTCAAACAGATGCCATTAATACAGGTAACGAGTGGAGGACAGGTCTGTGAGAGCCAGAGATCTTCCTTGTTTGAAGTGACCAAATACTTATTTTCCATCATAATTTACAAATAAATTCCTTAAAAATCCTACAATGTGAATTCCTGGATTTCTTTTCACATTCTGGCTCTGTTAATATCTCTCCAGAGAGAAAGACAGACCAATGAGAGGGACCAGATAGAAGACTAGAGAGAGAGACCAGTGAGAGAGAGCAGAAAGAAAGACCAGTGAGAGACACCAGAGAGAGACCAATGAGAGAGACCAGGGAGAGAGAGAGACACCAGATAGAAAGAGAGACCAATGAGAACGAGATCAGATAAAGAGAATAGGGAGGGAGAGTAGAGAGAAAGACCAGAGATAGACCAAAGAAAGAGAGACTAATACATTACTATAATCCATGATGACAGTGAATGAGACACAGAGAGAACAGAAGAATCCATAACGACAGAAGACACACGAGCCGCCGCAGTTTAAAACCCATCTTTACTTAGAAAACCAAAATAAAGATGTAGATCTGAAGTTGTCCGAGTGTCCTGAACCTGAAAGATTGCGGGCGCTGGCGTTTGGTCCGACTCCAGCTTCTTCATTGTTCTCTTTTTTTAGTTTGGAAGCCTTTTCTTGTTCGTGGGAAAGCAGAGAGGACTTTGCTACAGGGTCCAGTCACACACACACAGAGACAGGACACACACACGGCCACCAGAGGGCGCCCTCAGAGCACTAGGATTATCGTTATAGATAAGATGGGCATCGTGGCAATAGGCTCTTCTCACGGAGGCTCCAGGATCACTTCTGTTGTGTCCCTGGGCAAGACGCTTAACCCAACTTTGCCTGAAGCCCCTGTCTGTATTAATAAAGCAGCCATCTCCCTGTGAACCCACCACCTGCAGGAGATCAGAGGCTGGTGCTAAGAAACGGACCATTAAAGTGGATGAAAATTGAAAAGAATCATAATAATAAAAAACTGGACCAAATATAAGGTTTAAATCATTGTTCTATATTTATCTTCTAATGTTGTGTGTGTTTGAAGTGTTAGAATAAATTAAATGTGGTTGTTTTCCTGAGAAAATAGATGTGTAACATGTCTTAAACCCATCACCATCAACGCTGAAAGTTAATGATGGATGAAGGTGGAAGAATCAGAGAAAGTCAAACTCATTTTGCTCAGAGCCAAATTTAAAAACTTAAAACCTGTTGGGGCCAAAAGTGTGAAAGTCTTTTGACAAATGAACTGTATTTATTAAAAGTTCTAACTATATTTTAGAACAAATTGAAATATTCTGTGGTTTTCCTGAGACAGAAGGTTAAAGATGAAGTATAACGTGCCACAGTCGCTCATCACCGTCAGTGTCACTGTGATAAAGATCATTTTAATCATGTCAGGGCCAATAACACACGGCCTGTGGACCGGACTCGGCCCCTGGGCCTGAGGTCGACCCGTCTCTTCACCGTAAAACTACAGATTATTTAGTGAATTTTCGGAATCAGTAAATTTAAAGTTTAACTGTAAAGGTTTAACTTCTTTAACTATTGTGTCATTAAAGTTATACAGTTTATGGTTTGTTTGTAGAAAATCCCTAAATCCAACATAATAATATTTTCAGCTCTTTGTAACAACAGGAGAAAGTGTGATTGTGTAAAGTGCTAAACTGTGGTGGTGTCCTTTGGCAACACACTCCTCTGACCTCGCTGCAGGTGATGTCACATGAAATCACACTTTAGGATTCATACGGTTTGGAAATTGGGCCGAAAATACGTTTTTGTGTTTTGTGAATCTTTGCTGATAATGACAGGTCTGAGGTCATCACTGGTTTGCGGAAATTAGCCTTTGGCTATAATCTGGCATGTTTACATTCATGTTTTTAATGTGTCTGTTCATTGACATGCACTGTCCCATTCAAATAAATGAATAAATGACTCCATCATCTCTGTCTACTGCTGCTGGTGCATCCCGCGGTGGACACCCGCAGTACTGCAGCCACAGGAAATGTTCTCTTGGACGTGGGCGAGGCTAAAGTTCAGTGTGTCATTCATTAGCGCCGCTGATTGGATGAGCATTGGTTAGCAAATAGCATGCTAGTGTACGAGCGGCTGCTCCCTTCCTGACACGAGGAGCTCAGAGTAGAGCTGCTTCTCCCAAGAGGGGAGCCAGCTGCTGCGGTGAGAGAAGGCGACTGTTTAAAGCTCGGGACCTCACTTTTTTGTTTTTATTGAGGTGTTTTTTTGATTGACGCAACAAAAATAGTCTCAAAAAGTGACCTTTATGACATAGTTACATTTGAGAAAAAAAATCTCTTGATTTTTTATATGTTGAGAAAATGTGTCAAAATTTGAAAGGTTTTCCTCCAGAACTTAACTTAATTTGTATGGCAGTAAAATGGATCTGTCTCCAACTGAGGCTCAGAGGAGCACAGGGACTGGCCTCCTGCTGGGACTCTGAGGAGCACAGGGACTGGCCTCTTAATGGGACTCTGAGGAGCACAGGGACTGGCCTCTTAATGGGACTCTGAGGAGCACAGGGACTGGCCTCTCAATGGGACTCAGAGGAGCACAGGGACTGGCCTCCTGTTGGGACTTTGAGGAGCACAGGGACTGGCTCCTGACTTCTGTTGTGATTGATTTGAAATTCAACCCTGCAGTTTTTAATCTGACTACAGACGCTGAAGTTTACATGTTGCTTCTTCCTTCACGATAATCCCAATTATCCCGGTAATCCCAATAATCCTGATAATCAATAATCCTATTAATCCTGATAATCCCAATAATCCTGATCCCAAAAGGCCTGCAGCAGTGATCCAGGTCCGTGAGAAGAGCCTACGCGGGCAGTAGACACCATAACACTGAAACTCCACAACAAACAGCGACAGTTGCGCCGCTCTCCCCTCGTCTTCCATCTTCTTCATTATTGCGACGGAAAAGACGGAGATTACAAAACTACTCTGTACAGTGTTTAAAAAGCAAGCACGATATTCCTTATGTACAGCCATGTTTAGAATCCTCTTTTTTTGTACGGAATATACATATTTATACGGAAGTTCACAGTTTGCCTTGTGTTGAGTTCTGCGGCGCGGGTCCCGGCCGCCGCCGCCGCCGTGATATCCAGGAAGTCGCTCCGAGAAAAACAAAACAACAAAAAAAGGCGAGTTTTTCTAATGACCTGAAAGAGAATTGACAATATTCGAGGTTTGAGCAGATTTGAGTTGGACACAGAGGAACGACCACGAGCAGAGGATCACAGGGACTGAGTTACTTTGGTCTTTCATGTTTGAGGAAGTCTGGAAGAGAAAATGTAACGTAATGGAATAAAAGATTCATCTGTTTTATTTTGTCGCAATATTTGGGAAACGATTGAATATTATTGAAATTCTTCACATGTCTGAGAGAGACCGGAGGGAGACCAGAGAGAGACCAGAGAGAGTGACTAGAGAGAGACTAGAGAGAGAGACCAGAGAAAGACCAGAGAGAGACCAGAGAGAGACCAGAGAGAGAGACCAGAGAGAGACCAGAGAGACCAGAGAGAGACCAGAGAGACCAGAGAGAGTGACTAGAGAGAGACTAGAGAGAGAGACAAGAGAGAGACCAGAGAGCGTGACCAGAGAGAGTGACTAGTGAGAGACTAGAGAGAGAGACCAGAGGAAATCACAATACACTGGACCAGGACAGGTCAGAGGGAGTTTTGATCCTAAAACCAAGTCCTGCTGAATCAACTGTAACCATGACAACAAACGGCAAAGAAAACATTAAAATGAGGACGTGTCAGAGCTAAAACTAAAACCAAAGAATATTTCAAGTTTTTCAGACGTTCCTCATGTTTCCTGTCGAGTCAAAACTGCTCAAATCCAGAAAATATGTTTGAACCATTTTAACTCCTTGCAAAAAATGAATCTGGAGTCTGTCTTGAATTCAGGTCGATCCGTGGAGTTGTTTTTACAGTGTAGGTTTGAGGATAGAGAGACCAGAGAGAGTCCAGAGAGAGAGACCAGAGAGAGACCAGAGAGAGAGACCAGAGAGAGACCGGAGAGAGACCAGATAGACCAAAGAGAGACCAGAGAGAGACCACAGAGACCAGAGAGAGAGACCAGAGAGAGACCAGAGAGAGACCACAGAGACCAGAGAGAGAGACCACAGAGACCAGAAAGAGAGACCAGATAGAGACCAGAGAGAGACACCAGCGAGAGACCAGGGAGAGAGAGATCCCTCACCCATCACCCATTTTTTGCCTAAAGGGTTAAAACTCCTGAATCCCGACTCCTCCAGAAAGACGTTTTTTGCAGTGTTATTGCATCCTGTTTTTTCCAGTAAGAAAATAACATCTAACATAAGCACAGTTTCAAGTGGACAGTTTTGTGGTCGTAATCCTTCAACTTTGATATATCTCAAAAACAACCAAAATAATCTGTAATCTCTTTGATCGGTAAAAAAAAGCAGTCCCCGTTGTGGGCGGAGTCTCTCAGTCTAACGCGGTTATTACTGTAGCGTGTGCAGTGGGAGTAAGGCACTTGGAGGGTGTTTGGCGTTCAGGGCATCTCAGAGGAGACCAGGGCGAGACCGGAGCTCTGGCGGAGGGGCCCGGCGTGCACGGCTTTGGGGCAGTCTGGGGTCAGCACGCGGCCGTTCTCGCCCACGCTGCCGGTGATTGACAGACGGGCTTTGTTCCGCATGGCCTCAGTAAAGGTGAGCTGAAGGAGAGAGCACAGATTTAATTGTGTAGCACGATCAGAAACATGAGGGTCAGGGTTTAAGTTCACTTCAGACACACACTCCTGTCCTCCAGGAGGCGCTACAGGCCCAACTCTCTCTATATAACATACTGTACCTGGCAACATTTTTCACTTTTAACATGTTTGCACACCAGAGAGAGAGATTAGAGAGAGACCAGAAAGAGAGACCTGAGAGAGACCAGAGAGAGACCAGAGAGAGGCCAAAGAGAGACCAGAAAGAGGCAAGAGAGAGACCAGAGAGAGATCCTCTGACGTCTGGACAGAACGTGTGTCACTGGTCGCGACCCTCTGACGTGTGTGGTCGCAACCCTCTGACGTGTGTTACCTTCATTCTCTTGGCTTCGTTCCTGGACTTGTAGCAGAACTCGATGAGGGCCACGAGCATAGCCAGCCCCAGACCCCCCACCAGGATGTAGAAGACCCCCGCCACGTTGGACAGACTCAGGGCCTGCGACGACTTGTCCTGGAGAGACACACACACACACACACACACACACACATCAGAGGAAGAGACACACACGTCAGAGGAGGTGGGAGGAGATACAAACATCAGAGGAGGAGACACGCACATCAGAGGAGACACACACATCAGGAGGAGACACACACGTCAGAGGAGGAGACACACATCAGAGGAGGAGACACACACATCAGAGGAGAAGACACACACACACACACATCAGAGGAGGAGACACACACATCAGAGGAGAAGACACACACATCAGAGGAGGAGACACAGACGTCAGAGGAGGACATACACACACACACATCAGAGGAGGAGACACACGTCAGAGGAGGACACACACACACACACACACAGCCAATCAGAGGAGGAGACACACACATCAGAGGAGGACACACACACACAAACACACACAGCCAATCAGAGGAGGAGACACACACACATCAGAGGAGGTGAGAGGATGAGACACACACATCAGAAGAGGAGACACACACATCAGAGGAGGTGACACACACATCAGAAAAGGAGACACACACATCAGAGGAGGAGACAGACACACACACATCAGAGGAGGTGAGAGGATGAGACACACACATCAGAAGAGGAGACACACACATCAGAAGAGGAGACACACACATCAGAGGAGGTGACACACACACATCAGAAGAGGAGACACACACATCAGAGGAGGAGACACACACATCAGAGGAGGTGAGAGGAGGAGACACACACGTCAGAGGAGGAGACACACACATCAGAGGAGGTGAGAGGATGAGACACACACATCAGAAGAGGAGACACACACATCAGAAGAGGAGACACACACATCAGAGGAGGAGACACACACATCAGAGGAGGTGAGAGGAGGAGACACACACAGACACACACATCAGAAGAGGCCATACACACAGGCACACAGACACACACAGACACTATGCAGCCAAACCTCGGGAACCTGCATCAACTGCCTCTGACTTCATCTCTACAGTCGACAAACCATAGACACAACAATTGGAGTAAGAGATGACAAGAATGAGCAACACTCCCTCTAGTGGCTGAAGAAGAAAATGGCATTTGACTCAACATGACACTGTGTCTGCTCTTGGACAGCTCCCTCTGGTGGCGACTCGGAAGATGACAGAAGCACACACACACACACACACACACACACACACACCACGCACACAAACACACTCAAACACACACACTCAAACACGCACAGTCAAACACACCCGCACACTCAAACTCACACACACACACATACTCACACAGACGCACACACACACAAATACACAGACACACACACACACACACACACACGCATACGCACACTCAGAAACATACTCACACACACACACTCACACACACACTCACAGACACACGCACACACAGACACACACACACACACACTCACAGACACACACACACAGACACATACTCACACTCACAGACACACAGACACACACTCACAGACACACGCACACACAGACACACACACACACACACACACACTAACCTTCTCGCCGCCGCCCCCGCTGCCGCACTCTCCTTTGTCGTACCACCACTTGTTCTTCAGTTTGTCCAGCAGACCCTGTTCGTTCAGCTTCAGCACCGCCAGGTTCACCGCACTTCTGCAAACCCAAAACATCAGGCTCGGAACAAACGTATCCAAATGTTTACACTAGAACCTCAGAGTTTATGTAAATATGAACTAGAATAATTATGTCCTCACAATTTCACCCTGAATCCTATAAAGTTTTGTGGAAAAAACCTGTTTATCTTTTTAGCCTTGCCTAAAATTTCAAATGTAAAACCCGTAAAACCCTAATAAACAAACACGTGACAATAAAACAGGAAACTTGGTGATGGAGATTAGAATTCCAACCAAGCAGGAGCCACCAGACTCCACCCATCTCCCCTAAAGCAGGGCTCTCAAGGTCAGGGTAAGTGGGGGCCGCAGGGGGACATTTTAGTGCAATTTGGATAGAATCTTACTTTTCAGCCTAAAACCGTATGTGTGGCCCTCTCTACCTCTTTGGTGGCACTACATTTGGCTCCATTGGCTCTGGAGTACAGTGTGACGTCATCCAAGTCTCACACACGCCTGCAGCGAGTTGGAGTATTCTGGTGACATTTAGTGGTTTAAAAGTATATTACATCCGTTGACAGCCACTACTGCTTAGATCATTAAGATAAGATTGAGCTTATTTATCTCTGAGAAATCTACATGTCACATTTAGCACAGATAGAATCTCTCAGATTGGGCAAAAGACAGAAGTGTGAAACATGTTAAAGTTAAAAATAGTCTGTGCAGGATATAATTATGTACAATAAAACGTGGCAGTAGCAGCTGGTTCATTAGTGACTTAAAGTGACTTATTGTACAGTCTGACAGTGGTGGGGATAGTTCTGAGTTTTAGGTTCAGATGTTTAGCTGCAACTATCTTTTGCCCAGCTCTAAGCCCCCTTGGTCCCTTGGTTTGTATCAAAACAGAAAAACAGTAAAACCAAGAATCAGACGTTAGGTAGGGGTGGAAAGAAAGAAGAAATGTTAAGTTTCAGTTTCACTTAACATTCAGACCACACTCTCTCCTGAAACATGGAAGTTTCACTATCAGCAGAGTCACACCAGCGTGAGACCAGAGAGAGAGAGACCTGAGAGAGACCAGAGAGAGACCAGAGAGAGACCAGAGAGAGACCAGAGAGAGAGACCAGAGAGAGAGAGACCAGAGGGAGACCAGAGAGAGACCAGAGAGAGACCAGAGAGAGAGAGAGACCAGAGAGAAAGAGACAAGAGGGAGACCAGAGAGAGACCAGAGATAGACCAGAGTGAGACCAGAGAGAGAGACCAGAGGGAGACCAGAGAGAGACCAGAGGGAGACCAGAGAGAGACCAGAGAGAGAGACCAGAGGGAGACCAGAGAGAGACCAGAGATAGACCAGAGTGAGACCAGAGAGAGAGACCAGAGGGAGACCAGAGAGAGACCAGAGAGAGACCAGAGAGAAAGAGACCAGAGGGAGACCAGAGAGAGACCAGAGAGAGAGACCAGAGAGAAAGAGACAAGAGGGAGACCAGAGAGAGACCAGAGATAGACCAGAGTGAGACCAGAGAGACCATAGAGAGACCAGAGAGAGAGAGACCAGAGACCAGAGACCAAATATCTCCCTTTGAATGAAATTGAAAATAATCAATCTCTATGTCTCTTTGTTCTAACAAACTTCTCCATGTTGCGGGAGAGCGTTTGCCCTGATGCCCCGGAGAGAGAGAGCCCACCCACCCGAGCTGCGAGCCCTTGGGAGTGGCCACGCCGTAGCCTTTGGAGTCCAGGTTCCCGCCCACTTTCATGGTGTCGCAGGGCTTCCTCTGCTCCGTGTACTCGTTCATGGTGGACTCCAGCAGGAAGGCGTACTTGCCCTTGGACTTGCGGACCCGAGCCACGCCCTCGGCCGTGGTTTTGGTGAAGACAGTGGGCTCCGCAGACTTCATGTAGCCCCACATCTTCTCGTAGACCGCAATCTTTGAGCGCTGGAGTCAGAGGTAAGGAGTCAGGGGTTAGGGAGGAGAGGTTAGAGCAGACACAGAGCAAGTGGAGAAGAAAAGAAACACATGTTATTTTGTTCTATGCGGATACAGGAAAGTCTAAGGACAGAGGCGAGGATCCAGGATTGGTCTCTGTCTTTTATGGACCAGTGTCTCTATGTGGTTCTTGTTCCAGACCTATGCACCTAGAATCTGGAACAGTCTTCCCGAAGGTGTGAGACAGGCTGCTACCCGAGCTATATTCAAGTCAGGGCTGAAACGATTCTTTTCAGCCGTAACTGTGTGTAACCCAGGTGTCAAAACTGAATCATCATAATTATTAGTAGTATATTGTTAAACGAAATGAAATTGTATTGCGTTGAGCCTCACACTTGCGCGTCAAGTTCGAGCTGCCCCGCGCTGCACTGGACTACCCAGGAGCGGTAAGGAGTGAGGGGCAGAGTGAGAGGACGCCAGAGGAAAGCTGAGCTGCAGGAGCCGTCGTCTACTCCTCCAAACTCCTGTTCATTGAGGTCTCCAGAACGATGGCGAGCTAACCCAGACACGTTGCCTAAACCAAAGACCTTACTCCAACTGCATGTGGGGCCCAGCATCACATTCGTCGTTCAACCCAGGGCGGGCGGGGGGCTCCTGTGGCCCAGAGGATCTTTCACCCCACTTTCCCTCAACAAACCGGTCGGATAAACGCTCTTTCTCCCTTCACCATTTTTCCCCAACGTGGGTTTTTTTATTGGACAGTGCGTGGGGTTGTTTGATTACTGAATGTATCGTGACTAACTCGTTGTTATATTTGTAAATGTTGTAAATATTGAATCCGAATATCCATTCATCTGCACTATTTTGTTGTTTCATCTGTCAGAAGACTCTCCCAGAGCGAGTCCTCTGACTCGAGCCTAGTTATTCTTAATCCGCTCCTTACATTGAAGCAGCTTGGGTCTCATACTTATGTGTGCTACATGTGCTATATAAATAAAAGTTGATTGATTGATTCCTTGTCTTTGAACTGATTCTCTGATCTGTGTTGGCGAATTGACAGCTTTGTCCTGGATCTACAGCCTGTAACCTGAGCTGTGTTCAGTGTGATGTTCAGCAGACAAATATAGACGTCATTGAGAACTTTTGTCACTTGGACGTTTTGACTCATTTGCAAATATAAAGATAAAAATCCCCTTCAGAGGAGATGATGGTTCATGGCTGTGGACAGATGGTCAGATTGATAAAACATATCGGGTGTTTTTGTTTTAGCATGACCCGCTGCTTGAACACTATAGACGCACGCTTAGACCAAAGTTACAGAACCTGAAGCTTTTGTTCTGAACCTAAAACACAGACTGACCATTCCTTAAACAAAAGTACTGCTTTGCACTTTGCTTTCATTTCTACAACACACTTTCTCCTTTTGCAACACACTTTCTCCTGCTCACTTCACACTGTGTCATACATAAAACACTTTGTTCATAAATGCAATCTTGAGTTATCGTTGGGAAAACACATCTATTCAAAATACCAAACACATTGTGTGATTGAAAACACTGAGATACACACTTGAAAACACTGATATACAAAACGCGACTCACATCAGTCAGACACAAACAGGCCTCAGTTTATCCATTTTCAGAACTTTTTAAGTATGAAGGCAGGAAGAGCAAGAGAGAGGAAGAGGAAGACAAGGAGAGAAGAGGAGGACGTGGTTGAAGATATTTCTGATGAGATTAGAGCAACTTTGGAGGATCATGTGATGAACCATGGCCTCACACTGAAGGAAGAGAGAGTCACAGATTCATCATCAGGACCTTCAGATGGAAACTTGTCTCTGACTCTGCAAGTTGGTTATTGCTCCTTTTGAAACACACAGTACTAAGTACATATAAAGTACTGTAGTGTTTTATGTAAAGTACTGTAGTGTTTTATATAAAGTACTGTAGTGTTTTATATAAAGTACTGTAGTGTTTTATATAAAGTACTGTTAGTATTAGATAGCAATATGGCCTACGTGCAGGACTCTACAAGGACTCCATGTTATGACTATGATGTGACTGTCTCTGTGTGACACGTATGTCTTTCGATGTGTGACGTGACAATGACTACATAAACTGTGTACTGCCTTTATTCTGTCTGAGAGAAAGAAACAAAGTAAATCACTGGAACTTGAGAGAAACTTAAATAAACTTCCAGAGTTTGGCGCACCACGATTCGTCTCTGTCTGCTAAATCCCTGACAGTACTGTAGTGTTTTATATAAAGTACTGTAGTGTTTTATATAAAGTACTGTAGTGTTTTATATAAAGTACTGCAGTGTTTTATATAAAGTACTGTAGTCCTCAGAGTTTCATTTTGACAAAGGATTGTTTAGTTTCGAGAGCAGAGTTTTGATAAAGGAGTTTCATTTTGACTCAGATGTGTTTGGTTTAAGTCCCAGTGTGTGTCAGGTCATCGTGTGAGTAGAGTTTTGGGACTATGAGCAAAATTTAGCAAAATGTGTTCGAACAACAGGAAAAAACTGTAATGTAAACATAAGTCTAGTGTCACTACAGGACTAATACATGAATTCAGTAAAAAAGCTCCCACAGAGATATGTCCCTGGCTCAGTCTGAAACACAGAACAAGTTAGATCAGAGGTCTCTAGAAGCTGAAGAAGAAGAAAACCTGCGCCGCTATAGGCTAATACTGCGCCTCGCCACGGCGTCCTGACTCCTCGCCACAGCGTCCTGACTCCTCGCCACGCCGTCCTGACTCCTCGCCACGGCGTCCTGACTCCTCGCCACGGCGTCCTGACTCCTCGCCACAGCGTCCTGACTCCTCGCCACGCCGTCCTGACTCCTCGCCACGGCGTCCTGACTCCTTGCCACAGCGTCCTGACTCCTTGCCACGGCGTCCTGACTCCTCGCCACGGCGTCCTGACTCCTCGCCACAGCGTCCTGACTCCTCGCCACAGCGTCCTGACTCCTCGCCACAGCGTCCTGACTCCTCGCCATGGCGTCCTGACTCCTCGCCACGGTCAGAAAACACAACGTTCTCACGCTGTTCATAAACGTATTCTGGCGATTGTTTTGCACGGATTCTGTGTGTTTTGCAGATTTGAGTCCTTGAATAAATTTCAATCTGGAAAGACTTACAACAAAGATGCATTAGAATATTTGTTGTCAAGATGCATGAATAAACACAGCAGACTTAGATCGAGACTCATGAATTTGTTATTAAGCTTTGGCGATTAGATTCCGGCAGGAGTGGTTAGCCTATATGGCACGACGTCTGCAGAAGGGAGTTTAATAGAAATGAAGAGCTTGTGACCCCCCAGGGCCTAGACCCTGGTGGTGAAGAAGCTGAGCCAAAGACATGATGCTCCACTGAGGAGGCGGTGATGGGAGGAGGAGGGTTGCTGCTCGAACAGCCGCTTGAGCTGTCAGTGTAGAGGGGGAGGAGTCAGTGTGGCAATATGACGTCTCTTTGGTTTGGTTTTCCGTTCTGAATTTTGCGTTTAAGCTTAATTTAGTTCAGAGGTGTCCAAACCGGTCCAGAAAGGGCCGCTGTGGCTGCGGGTTTTCTATCAGACCCAGCAGGAGCAGAGCAGACGCTACACATTTCCTCAAATCATCAGGTTAAGACTGAACTCATTTGAGGAAATGGGCGGAGTCTGATGGTCCATGATCATGTAGGAAATGATCATGGACCAGAGTTTACACATGGTAAGACCCAGACGTACATGTAGGAAATGATCATGGACCAGAGTTTACACATGGTAAGACCAGGGTGCTAGCTTGAGGTTGACAGCGCTTTTGGTTCAAACATAAACTTAACTGTTCGGTTCCAAATCCTTACAAAATAAATAATGAGTCTGTCCATCTGTAAAATGTACCATTGTCCACATGGTACTATTGTCCACATGGTACTATTGTCCATATAGTTCTGCTTCTGGTTCAGCGTCTTCTACAGAAAGTAACAACACTTTTAGACTAATACAATTGAAACTTAAGCGTACATTCAGACTGGAAGACCATAGGAGATGGCAGGCTGCCACACTGACTCCTCCCCCTTTGCACTGGCTCCTCCCCCTCTGCACTGACCCCTCCCCCTCTGCACTGACTCATCTCCCACTGCACTGGCTCCTCCCCCTTTGTACTAGCTCCTCCCCCTCTGCACGGACTCTTCCCCTCTTCACTGACTCCTCCCCCTCTTCACTGACTCCTCCCCCTCTGCACTGGCTCCTCCCCCTCTGCACACCTGCACCTGAGGTCAGCCTCACCCCTGCTGCTCAGTAACAGAGCGTCTCAGTTCTCTGCAGCTCAAGCTGCTGTTCGAGCAGCGACCCACCTCCTCCCCATCACTGCCTCTTCAGTGGAGCATCAGGGGTCTAGGCCCCGGGGGGTCGCAAGCTCATAATTTCCCTCCTCCAGACGTCAACAGTTTCCTGCCGGGGTCTAATCACCATGAGCTGAATCAACATTTCATGTTCAAATACAATAAATAGATTAACACCAGTCAATGCGTCTGCTGCTGTCAGTGTGCATCCTGTATATTCTAATGTTTGTGTCCAGTCTGTCCAGATGGATCAGGAGCAGATGTGTCTCCTTAACCTGGCAAGAGCCAGATTGATGATTGTGTAGAACTCTAACGCGTTCTCCGCGATATCAATCTGGGATTTCTCCCGGAGAATCCTTTCGGGGAAAGGAGGGGTAAGCAGCAGAATACTTGAAGCTGATTGGGCGAAGTGACGCTGTGTGCCCGCCTACCAAGGTTGCCGTCCAGAAATGTACAAAGCGCCTCTCGCTGTTCATCTTTCAAAAAAGAAATTGGAGATTCTGCTAAAACTGACTTTGCGTCCGTCCTCCTGCGTAGCCATATTTGTTTTGCTTCGGCCCGGCACTTCTTGCTTTCGTCAAACCCGGATATCCCGCCCTAAACCGCCAGACTGGCGCGTGATTGGCTCGCACACCCAGTGGTTCGACTCGAAAAGTGTAAGCGGGAGCGGTACAAGATGTATTCTCGAGTGTTTGTGAACTCACAAATACCGCGAGAATTCAGCTTGCAGGCAAGGTTAGTGTCTCCTGCTGATGTTGCACTATTTCATTTCAGGTTAAATGGATTCAAATCAGGTTAAAATATATTGTCACATTTCAGACCTTGGAACGTGTTGCTCCCAACACTGTGTGTCACAAATGAAAATCAGAATAATAAGTCATTTGTGGGCGACAGTGGCTCTGTTGAAGGTCGTGCGTTCGAGCCCGCCATAAGACCTACTTCACGACTCCCACTGATGACTGCTGTCGTTGTGTCCTTGGGCAAGACACTTAACCCCACTTTGCCTGAAGCCTCCCCTGAAAGATCTCAGCTCCTGTGGACTCAGCACCTGCAAGAGGATCAGTGAGGGGCTGGAGCTCTGTGTACTGGGTGCAGCTCTGACTGCCACCCCCCCGACCCAGAAATGGATTAAGGGGAAGAAAATGGATGGAGGTCGTTTGTCTGTTAGAACTTTCCAGATAGAAGTGACGTCAGAAAAATAAACAGGATTTTTACTTCTGACGTCCACAGGACTACAGTGAAACCTGGGGCTGCTCCTCGATGGAGAGCTATAGACCAGACCTGGACAGACTCCTCCTGAGGGCCACATTGGAACATCAGTAATGTTTATACATACACATTAAACTAAATATCATATAAACCAGCGTCTGCACGAGCACACAGGGGTTTTATAGTCTTTAATCCACTATTTATATATAAGCTGAGGAGGAGATAGATTTATTAGCAGATTCCTTGGACCAGGGGTGTCCAGCCAGGTCCAGAAAGGGCAGGTGTGGCTGCAGGTTCTAGTTCCAACCAGAGCAGGACCAGACTCCTCCCATTTCTTCAGGTGAGTCCGGTCTTGACCTGAAGATTTGAGTCTGGTCCTGGTCTGGTCAGTCTAACACCTGCGACTGGACACCTCTGCCTTAGACCCTGGAGTAGCCGTGGGAACGTTCTCACCCTGAAGAACTCCTTGGTGGATCCGGAGTCCAGGGTCCCGTAGGCGATGTCGGTCTGTTTGGCGAGGTCCTCGGCGCTCTCGATGGGAGACACCATCCGCTCCACAGTGAGGAAGGCAGCGAGGTTAGCCGTGTACGACGAGATGATGATGAGGGTGAAGAACCACCACACCCCGCCCACGATACGCCCGGACAGGGACCTGTGCAGAGGAGAGAGGCAGGTCAGACCCAGAACCAGACCCAGAACCAGACCCAGACCCAGAACCAGACCCAGAACCAGAGACAGGGACCTGTGTAGAGGAGAGGGGCAGGTCAGACCCAGACCCAGACCCGAGGACAGACCCAGAACCAGACTTGGAGACAGAGACAGACCGAGGGACAGACCCAGACCCAGGGACAGACCCAGAGACAGGGACCTGTGCAGAGGAGAGAGGGGCAGGTCAGACCCAGGGCGGCACGGTGGCTGAGTGGATAGCACTCTCGCCTCTCAGGAAGAAGGTCCTGGGTTCGAATCCCGGTCGGACCAGGGCCTTTCTGAGTGGAGTTTGCATGTTCTCCCCGTGTCTGCGTAGGTTTCCTCCGGGTACTCCGGTTTCCCCTACCACTAAAAATATGTCCAATAGTTCTGGCATGCGCTTCCTGTACTGGTGACCCCGCTCCCATCTCTGTGTGGAGTGAGAGACAAATGCCCTAAATTAACAATTGTAAACCGCTTTGAGACTCAGATCTGCAGTGAAAAGGCGGTATATAAATAAAAACTTACTAACTTACTTACTACTTACCCAGACCCAGGGCAGTGGTCTCAAACTGGCAAAAAGGTATTTAGTCGCCCCCTAGTGGACGTTAATGTAATGTAAACAACCACAACATGACCATAAACATTGAACCCTGAATGCAAGAAGCAATAAGTAAACTTTATCAATCGAGAGTCTGCAACAAATAAATGTTGATCGATTGATACTATCTCTGTAAATCTATGAGCTTGAATAATTGACCAATAAGATGCCTTCTTTTGGGTAAATAGCTCCAGAAGAAGAGCGGGTAGGAGGTGTGTGGTCAGAGAGTGTTTGGGCCTGTGTCTTGTCGTGTGTTGTGCTCGTACCAAGTGTGTGTGTTGTGTTGCGTGTGTGTGATTGTGCGTGTTGAATTGAAATACCTCTTTTTCAAACAGTCATGTTTATTATATATAGTGTTTTCTTTTGCAAAACGTTTGAAATAAATTCTTACTACTACTAATAACACGAGGACTCCCAGAGCCGTATGCTCTTGCTTTCTTCTTCTTACGGCTTCCTCCAGATTTTGGCACTTTTCAACTCTTCAACGCTTTCACCAAATTCAACAAATCATACATTGTTACGACCGGCTTCACCGTCTCATTATTGCTATTCATTTTCACACTTCCACCTTTTGCACTTTTTCAGATATTTACAAAAGTACAATCACTTTTTCCCATTGACTTACATTGGACCAGTACAATAATTGCCCCGCAGACAACACATTCTTCTTCTTCTATGCAGCCACTCACAATGGCTTCAGCCATAGTACCATTTCTAGTTTTGACTGCTCCCATTCACATCATGGAATTCTGGAAAGTGAGTGAGTTTACCCCATTCTAATGTATCTTTACGCATGTTTTAAGTGCAAAAACTGGTAAATATAACTTGAAATACAGAAAAAAGATTACTAGCACTTGCTCTACTCAACTCCACTTCAAAATTAAAAGATAACTTCCTAAAAAAATAATGACACAGAAATAAAAAACAGAAGAAGTCACACATTTCTGAAGCTCAAAAGAGGTACATGAGCCGAGTCCCCACACCGCCAAAACGAACACCCGTCAAACTGTCTGTTGCGGGAGTTTTAGTGTTAAATCTACTGCAGCTCCAGCTTCTTAATACACACTGCACTGTAATGACACTGATGCAGCAGCAGGGGGCGCTGAGACCCCAGCATCAGCACCACTCACACACACACATCTGTAATCCCTCAGAATCCACTGTCCCCTCATGCCCCCCCCATTCTGGGACCATGACACTACCATCAGCTCTGGGGACTCGTCAGCCGCCTCACCCCGCGTCCGGAGCTCGTCACTGGGGTTAAGGCGAGAGGGGAGCGAGGGAGAGGGCGGGAGAGAGAGGGGAGAGGGAGAGGGAGAGAGAGGGGGGAGAGGGGAGAGAGGGGAGAGATAGAGGGGAGAGAGGGGAGAGAGAGAGGGGAGAGAGACAGAGAGGGGGAGAGAGGGGGGAGCAAGGTCGTGAGGAGAATCTCAAAAGCGTAAATGCTGCATTGAAGGAAAAGAACAAACAATCTCTCCTCCTCCATCCGCGCCGCAAATCACGCGCGCACGGGAACGGATGCAGCCCCCCCCTCACATCTCAGAGTCCCCCCCATCACACACCAGACCCCCCCCCCCCCCCCCCACATACACACACACAGCCACAGCCTCCCAGACCCATGTCAGAGCGAGGGAGGTGGTGGGGACTGGAGGGTTTAACAGCTACTACAGAAATATGAGCAGATACACACATACAACACACACACACACACACATACAGAGGAAGACATGTGCAGATACACACAACACATGGACACATATACACACACACGCACAAACAACACACACATACAGAGAAACACAAATGCAGAGACACACACACACATATCAGGTTCATTTTCTTGATGTCAGGGAAAAACCACAATAACAGAAACAGCACAAACGGTGAAAAATATAAAAATAGATGAAAATAATAAAGCATCATTGGATTTCAGTTTCACAACATCCTGAGAATAACTGTGAAAAATACAAATGAAGATCAAATAAAAGGTAAAGCTCTGTCAGAATTGTACGAAGTGGGGACCTAAAGTGTGTGACAAATATCCAACATGGCGTGACGTAAATGTGGCAGATTTTACATTTCTCAAACTAATTTAAACCAGAAAAACGTCCACCCATGATGTTGTATTTCGATGATAATAATAATAATAATAATAACTATAATAATACACTCAAACTTGTATAGCTCTTTTTTGGACATTCAAAAACGCGTCACATGAAATAAAATTTATAGTTTGGGAGTGAGGTCCAGAGGTTTGGGGCGAGAGAGACACACTGTTCTTCTTTTAAGATATTTCTATTCAAAGAGTTGTCCGACCTGACGTCACACGTTATATTGATTGAATGTATAAACTGTCAAACGATCAACATTTTTTTATTGATTCATCGCATAGTAATGGTGAATTAACTCACGATAATCATATTTTTTAACATTCTATTTCAAATCCACTCCACTTAAATGAGATTATCAAATGTAACGACACATTGTCATTCAAACCAAACGTTCTTAAATCTGTGATTCACAACCTTTTACTTTTGGACACAACCAACATGAGCTGTTAATGAAAAGGAATATTTACGTACCCCAGCTTTAATTTAGCGTGTTTAGTTGCGTTTCAGAAGGAGACACGGACACTTCCTGAGGCTCCATCTTTCATCTTCAGCGGTGTATTTGCGTGCACAGGTTACGCAAAGACACGCACACAACATGCAGAGAATAGTTCTGTGCGTGTGGTCGTGGATATGACCACGTTACAGCGGTGCCGTGTTTGCCGTGTTGTTGTTAGTGGCTCACAGCCAGCTAACAACAACCAGAGTGGCCGCAGCTGCCCATGGTCAGAACACTGCGGTCACGGAGGAGACAGACTTCAGTTCACAGCAAACAACAAGAGGGCATATTCTTTTAAAACTTTTCCAGAGACCTGCTCTGTCTCCATCTCACACAGGCATGTGTCTGCGGCTCTGAGTGATATCATGGATACATGGGGGTCATTGGGGCATGCGTTAAACGCGTAATTTTTTAGCGCAGTTTAAATGTAATTAATGTGAGTTAATGTGATAATTTTGACAGCCCTAATAAAGTTGTGAGGAGATCACAGGAAGAGTGAGGATCTTAAGTACCATCACATTAGTCCTGAGTAGACCCAGGAAGTACCATCACATTAGTCCTGGTCTCTGCACCTGTGGCTCAGAGAATAGACTTTAAAACAGCTCTGTTTGTTAAAAGTCTCTTTGAGGCCAAGTTCCATGGCCTCAAAGTCCATCTGTGACATGTTAGAGGGAATTTACACAGTAGGCGTTAACAGCGCGTACGCGTTGACTGCGTAGCCTATGGAGAAGTGTAGAGGACAGTACGGGCCAGAGGACTGATGTAGAGCAACACAAATCACATGCATGTGTTTGTCTTCATGGTCTCTGTGCTGGTTTGGCCAGACGCCAGACTTTATGAAAGAAAGAAAAAACGATGTCCAGAATTGCTGTAAAACCTGCCAGTCCTCTGCTAATGTTTAGATACAAGTGCTGTGTGTGTGTAGATGCGATCTAGAGCCGCTAGAAAAATCATGTTTCACATGTGATTTCAATGGGAGACGCGTTGCTGCGCGCAGAAATCAGAAATCCATCCTCGCGTCATACGTCCGTCATGCGCGCGTATGACACTAGTGTAATATCCCCATTGGTTAACGTGTAAAAATGTTACGCGCGTCTGCTGCGCGTATAACGCGTACGTGCTGTTACGCCTCCTGTGGAAATATTCTGTTAGAGACATATGAACCAAGGCTGAGGAGCACAGGGACTGGCCTCCTGCTGGGACTCTTAGGAGCACAGGGACTGGCCTCCTGCTGGTCCCAGAGTCAGGACTAAACATAAGAAGGCAGCGTTTCAGATTTATGCAGCTAAGGTCTGAAATGAGGGATTACCTTTACTCTTTTTAATGAACTGTGATTATTTATTTTATTAATTTCTTGTTTATGAATTGTGCTATACAAACAACTGTGTCTTACTGTACTTCCAAACATGACGTCATTGACGAGGATCTCCGCGGATTAGCGTCAGCCCCATTAGCCCACAAACGGCGCCTTTTGTGCTTCTTACCCACAATCCACCTCTGCCGCAGCCCGCCATCGGCAGCAGAGGCTTAGATGCAGAGATACAGAGAGAGAGGGAAAGATATAGACTGACGCACGGCTGCACCAGGATCCAGAGAGAGAAGGGAAGATATAGACTGACGCACGGCTGCACCAGGATCCAGAGAGAGAAGGGAAGATATAGACTGACGCACGGCTGCACCAGGATCCAGAGAGAGAAGGGAAGATATAGACTGACGCACGGCTGCACCAGGATCCAGAGAGAGAGGGGAAGTTGTCA